TTCCCTATTTGACCAACCTCGATTATATGTTTTCTGCACATTCTTCTGCAATTCGTAGCATTAAATCAATTATCAATTAAAAAATTTCACTGTTACAAAATATAATTCATTTTTTTTTTAAATTATATCTCCTATAGCTATATAATAGTTCCTTTGATAATACTATATTATTAAAATTAAGTTAATACAATTAAACCGACTTCTCAATTTACGAAATTTCACTATCTTTACTCATACTTTATATTAAAAAATCTTATCTTTATTCTGTTTTAAATATATTTCTCTTATTTATTTGTTCATTACATTAATAGAATTAAATCAATTTTACAGCGATCTACGATTCAACAACATAGCCGAACTGCGACCAGGTTCCTTCCATGGTTTACCAGAATTACACACTCTTTTGTTAAATGATAACCGCATTAGACACCTTTTACCACGGACGTTTGAAGGTGCAACGAACCTGAGGATCCTTTATTTATACAAGAATCGTTTAGAACGTATTTTGCCAGGAGCATTCTCTGGATTACCAAAATTAGAGCAATTATACTTACACTACAACCATCTCAGAGAAATTAAGAAAGGCACTTTCAATGATTTACCGTCATTGGAGAGACTCTTCTTGCATAGCAACATGCTGCATCATCTGCCGGCAGACGCTTTTCGCAATGTGGGACCCATGACGCGTCTTCGTCTGGACAGTAATGCTCTCGTTTGCGATTGCAATTTGGCTTGGCTAGTGCAGAGGCTTCAAAGCAGGCCGTCTGAGATGGCAGCCATTTGCCAGTCGCCCGATGAGATGAAGGGAAGATCATTGACAACTATGTCGATGAACGATTTTCATTGCAGTTGAGTAACTGAATGGTTGTGATTGCATGCGATCATAGAAACGATAAGGAATAACAGGATTATATACACCTATATATAATATAGATGAATACATTTTCGTCTAACAAAAAATAAGTGCATTTATATAATTGCATTTCTATCTTAATGAAAGCCAACATTAATCGTGTGAAAAGTAATTATGCGATTTTAGTAACGGTAAAAATGAAAAGTCATTTTCACTTGCTTCGTACCCTTTAATATTAAAAGAAGTTTGCTTCACAACATAACAAAATATTACAAATTACAGTTACCTTATATAGTTAGAAATTTTTTTTGTGAAAGTTGATTTTCTAGTAGTAATGGAGGTGAAGTAGGAGAGGCTGACCGGCGTGTCATTTGCGATGATAATTTTGATTTTTGTATTATCCACGATTAGCTAATTCTAGAGGCCTGTGATCACTCTTATCTGCGGATAAATCACTTTACTATAAAAGATTTGCCAGATGTCAAACAAATTGACAGACGAATATTCGAGCTTATTATAAATATACAAACTATATTTAAATTGACCTTAAATAATTCAACTATTCTTTTCTCTAAATATAATTGATTCCTATTGATTACAATATAATCACATTTTTATTATTATTTTATTATTATTATTATTTCTTGAAATATCTGCGATTATAACTACTTTATTTAACCAGAAGCTATTATTAAATCTTCATGGTGCTTTTATTTTTCAGTTGAACCACGCATAATGAATGGGCCTCAGGATGTGGAAGTTAAACTAGGAGGGACCATTAGCTTTACTTGCGAGGTAATAGGTGACCCTGTACCGGAAATCAAATGGATGCGAGATTCCAACGAAGTATCCGCCGATGGAAACCGTTACGTAATACAAGACGATGGAACATTAGTAATATCAGATATAACAGAACAAGATACTGGTGAATACGAATGCATTGCTAAAAGCGAAATGGGCTACACAAGATCGAGAAAGGCCAGAGCAATAATCACAGTGCCATCCTCATTACGATTCACCGAATTACCTGAGTCTCAGATTGTACAAGTTGGTACAGACGTATCATTCACTTGCAGAGTAAAGAGTTATCCTCCTCCAAGTATTCAATGGTGGAGAAACGGTCAATTACTAAATGTGGGTGGTCGTATTGCTACTGAAAATGATGGAAGTGTGTTGAAGGTCTTTGCCGTGAAGGAGACAGATTCAGCCAGATATGTTTGCCAAGCAAGAAACTCAAATGGATACGCTGAAACGAGTGCAGATTTGAAGGTAGTAGATGAGTCCCAGTTTAACAATGCTCCTAGGCTTATATATGAGCCTCACGATATGGAGGCCGAAATTGGGGCTATTATAGAGGTACCCTGCAGGGTAGAAGGTGTCCCAAAACCGGTGATACAGTGGAAAAAGGATGGAACCGCTGTGGAGGGATCCAGATTTCGAATATCACGTGGAGGAAGCCTTTATGTTTATAATGTTACCGCTGCAGATGCCGGAAGGTGAATCTAAATATTTTTTATTCTAATTATTCTTACTTTTTATGTTAGAGTCATAAAAAGATATTAAATAGTTCAAAAAAATAGTAAAAAATGACGATCAATTGTCTACTAGAATAAATAATTCATCAACAATTATTGAATAACATTATGTAACATAATATCAGCTAAAGTATTTATAACAGGAGATTTGCAATACAGAGGGACTAAATATACCAGCTTATCATATTTCTGACATCGTGATGTATGTTTGGTTTCACTGTCGTAAATCAAGAATTGTGTACACAGGTATGAGTGTTCCGCCGTGAACCAATATGGCCGAGCAACCGCTCAGGCACTGGTACGTGTTCGCCAGCCCGGAGCAACAGATGTTCTGCTAATAAGAGCCTTCAAGGATGCTACGGAGGAAATCGATCGAGCCATAAATAACACGTTGATAGATCTCTTTAGTGGTGATAGATCGAATCGGGCAAGTCCATTTCGACTTTCACGATTTCCAGACGCTGTTGGCCGTGCTGCTGCCAGACCAGCTGAAATTTTCGACAGAACACTTGTCAATATACGAAGAATGGTAAATTCAGGTCTGAGTGCGAATACCAGTTCTGAATTTCGATATGAAGAAATACTTACGGCAGAACAGGTGTGTTCTCCAATTCATACCGCTCTTGTTCCCTTGTAATTACTTCAATTGTTATTATTCCATTTGCTAATTAAGTAACTTCTTCAGTGTATAATTTTGTATGTTAAAAATTTCTAACATTTTATAGGTCAGAGAGATCGAAAGATTATCCGGATGTACTGGTCACAGACGTCGGCAAAACTGCACAAATATGTGCTATCACAATAAATATCGTAGTATAGATGGCAGCTGCAACAATCTACGCCACCCCACTTGGGGTTCTTCTTATACTGGTTTCCGTAGAGTTTTACAACCAATTTATGAGAATGGATTTTCAGCACCAGTGGGTTGGGACAGAAGTCGCCGTTACTATGGATATCCAAAACCTTCAGCGCGTTTAATCTCCACAACTCTAATAACCACTCATAACGTAACTTCAGACGATGGAATCACACATATGGTGATGCAATGGGGTCAATTTTTGGATCACGATTTAAGTCATGCACTCCCATCAGTTTCTAGTGAATCCTGGGATGGTATAGACTGTAAAAAGTCTTGCGATAATGCTGCACCCTGCTTTCCCATGGACGTTCCACCTGGTGATCCTAGAGTTAACAACAGAAGATGCATCGATTTCATTAGAACAAGTGCAGTTTGCGGATCTGGTGCAACCAGTTTATTATGGGGCAGCTTTACTCCTCGGGAACAATTAAATCAATTAACTAGTTACATGGATGCGTCTCAAGTGTATGGCTACGACGACGCCCTAGCCAGAGATCTACGTGATTTCTCTACGGATCACGGACTGTTACGAGAAGGGCCTACAATTCCTGGTCATAAACCTCTTCTTCCATATGCCGCAGGGCAATTTGTTGATTGTAGGAGAAATCCTTTAGAAAGTGCCATAAACTGTTTCGTAACTGGAGACATCAGAGCTAACGAACAAGTGGGTCTTTTAGCGATGCACACAATATGGCTGCGCGAACATAATCGCATAGCTCGTTCTTTGCGTGATATGAATCCTCAATGGAACGGGGAAAAATTATACCAGGAGGCCAGGAAAATCGTTGCGGCTCAAATGCAACATATCACTTATCAACACTGGATACCCCACGTATTTGGTGGTACTGTCGAAGAACTATTAGGTTCGTATCGAGGTTATGATCCTAATCTCGATGCTAGTATTTCTAATGTTTTTGCCACTGCAGCTTTAAGATTTGGTCACACTTTAATTCAACCTCGATTAGAGCGTTTTAACGAATCTTTCCAATCGATTCCTCAAGGTCCTCTTAAACTCAGAGACGCTTTCTTTGCGCCGTGGAGATTGGTTGAAGAAGGTGGCGTGGATCCTTTAGTTAGAGGAATGTTTGCTACAGCCGCGAAATTAAAATTACCTGAAGAAAATTTAAATAGCGAATTGACAGAGCAATTATTTTATACTGCTCATGCAGTAGCTTTAGATTTAGCTGCCATGAATATTCAGCGTGGTAGAGATCACGCTCTTC